ACACACACACACACACACACACACACACACACACACACACACACACACACGCAAGTCGGCCGTGAGGGTGAGCTGCAGCGGGAGGAGGCGGCCCCCCGGGCAGGGCAGTGCTTACGCGATCCTGCGGCTCTGTGCGCTGCTGAAGCCCGCGAAGGAGGCGCTGCGGCCCACGGCCCCCACAGCCCCCGCGTCCCCGGGGCTCAGGAACCGCACTCTCACTGACATGGCCGTCACCTGCAAGGAGAGGACAGGACGGTCAGCGGCAGGCACCGAGTGCTGCCCGCACAGCCCCGGGGAGGGCTGGAGAGGAGCTAGTGGAGGCTGCGGGCAGCAGGCCTCGAGCCCGGGACTCTGCACTCTGCCCTCGGGTCCCTGCTGCCGGATGCCCTGAGCCAGGATGCGGGCCTCCTAGCCCTGTCCCTCCCGCCTCCGCGGCTAGGGAGCCCCTGCTGGGGTCCATCTGAGAGGAGGCAGGAAAGGAAGGCCAGCAGGGCCAGGGCGCAGGAGCAGGAGTGCCAGGGGCCGCGTGTGAGAGGATGTGGTGAGAGGACTCTGTCACCCAGAAGCACCAGTGGCCAGGCCCTGTGGGGGGAGGAGACCACAGAGCAGGCTGAGACCTGGGAGCCCAGGGGACTTGCTTGTAACTGAGCAAGGGTAGCTGGGAGCCATGGGAGACTCCTGACAGGTGGTGACGAGCCCCATCCAGGGACTGTGCGCACCCAGGGCTGCGTGGCCCTCGCCCCGTCTCTGACCCAGGGCGCAGTGAGGCCAGCCCAGAACTCTGTCTTCTCTTTTTCTCAAACCGTCTCTAGGTTGACCCCACGTCCCTCGGGGACACAGTCCTTCCAGCTGGTCTATTATATTCTAGCATGGGCAGTTGGAAAGTTCTCCTTCCTATCTAACCTAAACCTCTGCTGCTACCATTTCATACTTTGATCCCCAGCCAAGGTGGTGTCAGTTTGAGGATTTCAGGGACCCCGCAGCTCCCACGGCTCCCACCCCGCCATGCCCTCCTTCCTGCGTCCCAGCCCCTCCACCCACCGACTGAGTCCTGCCTCCGTGGTCTGCGCTAGCGGGGCCTCTGTCTGGAGCACCGCAGTGGCCGGTGTCCAGTCCTGTGTTCTGTGCACTCAGCCCCGCCAGGGCCTCGGGTCCCATCTGCACCCCATGGCACACTGGCACCACGTCCCAGGCCACAGCCCCGGGCACGGCAGCTAGGGGCCTGGGAAACCAAGAATCCGGTCGTGGGCTGCAGGCCCCCCTGGGCCTCCGCGGTCACGGCTGCACACTGGGGACGGAAAAGTCCTCAGAGGCTTGGGAGGACCTGGAGCACGGCACCCAGAGCCCGCCACGTGCAGGTGACCCGGCCCTCCCCGAGCTGAGCCAGGGGAGCCGCTCCAGCCGCGGCGGAGGGGACCGTGTCCGCACAGCACCCAGCCCGGAGCCAGGGCTCTGGAACCTGGCAGAGACCCGCAACGGAGCGGGTGGGCCCTGCAGGCGCCTGGTACTGAGCACCCTAGTGACTGAGCCCTGTGCCAAGTGCTTTGTGCAAATTACCCTATTAAACTGCCGCCTCCCGCCCCCGGGACAGAAGTCCTTGACCTCATTCAACAGAAGAGGAGACTGAGGCTCCGAGGGGCCACTCAGCCAGTCCTGGGCCCCAGCAGGAAGTGGCAGAGCTGGTGCGGAGCAGGCAGGCTGACGGTCACCTGGCGCCAGGGGTCCACACTCTGGGCCTTGCTCTGGCCCAGGAGGACCTTGGCCCCATCTGGGCTTGTACCAGCTCAGAATCGGCTGCCAAACATCCAGGGATTCTGTGACATCCTGTTGGTGGCTTCCACCTAGCAGGAATGTCGAGGCCATGGAAACTGGCCAACACACGCCTCGGGGCTGTTCTCGGCTGGTCGTCACCTTACAGGCCACCGTGGCCCTGCCCACCACTGCCCAGGATGGCCCCAGGCTGGGCAAGGCAGTGGGGAGGGTCACCCTCAGGCCTCCCCATCAACCCCACTGAAGTCCCCTCCACAGGGCTTCCTAAAAGCGAATGCCAGGTGCTCCCGCTCAGGTGAGGGGGATGGCAGCCGAGCTGGGGCCCCCAACATGAGGTGCAAGGGTCTGAGCTGCCACCACAGCACCATGAGGCCGCGTGACCCTCTTTTCCATAAGAGGGGACAGAGGCTCCAGGGTGGGGACCTCCTGGGGACCTGCCCTTTCTACAAGGCTGGCTCTTCACTTGAGCTCCCTGCCAAGCGGGGCTGGCTCCCTGGACACTGCCCCATCTCCCCCAGGACGCCCTCCTGGACACCTCTCGGCTCTCCACAGTTTCAGAGACCCCTCAGCCTTCCGCAGCCTCCATGTCCCCTGTCACTGTCCTTGTGAGTCGCTGTGGCTCCCGCTAGATGTGGCACCAGCTCCGGCCTAAACAAGCGGGTCCTGAGCCACCCCCCACCCCCCCAAGAGTCGCAGCAAGACTTTATGGAACCAGAGAATGAGGACTCGAAGCCCGAGTCACGTCCCCTGGTCACGGCCCGGCAGCCCCAGGAGCGACCCTAGTAATCATCACTGGTGCCAGACTGGGGCCCAGGGTCCTGGGAAGGGCCAGATAGTGACCGTCCTGGCTTGGCAGCCGAGCTGGGCTGCTCAGGGTCCCAGCTGATGGGTGTCCAGCTGCTCGGCTCTGTCGTCCCAGGGTGCGATGGAGTGGGGGTGACAAAGCTGCTTCAGGACAGCGGCCGTGTGGCTGTGGGGTCCCCCTGCTGCTGTCCTCTGAGCCAGTGCCCTACGGGCGCCACCCCGGGGGCTTCAGTCTGCCTCCTTCAGCCTCCCGGGCCAGCGGGGCAGCTGCTGCTGTCCCCACCCTGCAGACCAAGAAACTGGGGCTGCCCGGGAGGACCGCTCCTGGGCCGTCCCCCAGGCAGGAGATGCCAGGGCCGGGCTGGGAGCTGGCCTTCGAGGCCAGGGTGGCTGCTGCCCAGCCGAGCTGCATCACCCCCAGGGCTG